TTTCGGGCCAGGCTGCATCGACCATCACGCTTCAATGACCAGCAGTAATCCGCCATCATGCTGATATTCCATTTGCTCTGGTATCGAAGCTTCCATGGCATATAACCTGATGGAACCGCTTCCTGTTCCTCACTGTAGTCCCCATACCTTAAAAATAGTCAAGATGTGATTGCAGGCAGTATCTTCACACTCATTCTAGACCCCAAGTTGCCGCCGGAACTTGAAATCAGGTCTTGATCATCAGTCATATTCTGGGAGAGCGCTGTTTCAAGAAGTTTTGGACAATCTGTATGAAGGAAACCAGCATTAATTTCAAATGCTAATGCTTCCTCAAAATGTAGCAACCTTTCCATCAATTTCTGAATCTGAGGCCACCAAGATTCCCGCTCTTAGCTTTCCTTCACTTATACGAGGAAACTTGACTCCAGGTACTTGAAAGCAGCCCCATTCTTGTTCAGGCCTTCTTACCAGACTTTTTCTATAAGCCCTAATTTGATGGGAGTGGCGGTAGCAGAATTTTCTTTAGTCAATTAGTGGCACAGCTTTACTGTTACGGTATCTCCTGCAAGAAGCTTGGTTCTTGGTGGCCAGTATTTGTTCATAGTGCCACCTGCCCTACTATCCCGTAGAGACAGAAAACAGGGATACTTGCATTCTCAAGCACCTAGTAGGAGAGCAATAACTTAAATCACCACAAATGAGAAAAATTGTGATTATGGTACTTGATTGCTAAGTGTCTTCATATTTTCGTAAGTTTCTGATATTTGGGACACAATGGCTAATCGGGCACAGATGCAGCTATGCTGGTTGCATTGTAGAGAAGAACAGCCTTTAGAAACTTTGTTAGAAGAATCAATGAAGAGCCTCCATTCATCTGTTAGACGACATCCCCATGTGCTCGATAAGGCTACAAATATTTGAACAGAAAAACAAGAGCATCTTTTTTTTCTCAAGAATTGTTAAAGGCGCTATTAGATTTAACATTTAAGTCAAATATATGTAAGTATTTTAATTGGCATATACTTTTAAGCATTTACTTATGTTATATAAAAATGAAAAGTCAACATGTAATGAGACAAAACTCACCAGAAGAGGATATTACATATAGGTAGAGTATTTATAGTAGGAGGCTGTAAAGACAGGAAGTTTGGTAGCGTGTCTCGAGGGTGTGGGGGGTGACTACGTATATTAACACAGGCTCAGTACAAGTGTAGTATATAAAACACAAATTCATGTTACAACTTTATTTTCCTAATTGCATAGGGGGAATTAATAGGGGGTTTCGTACACAGGGTATGATAGACTATGATCGTTTAACTTCACAAGTCGAATGGGCACTTCACTACCGTATATCTTGGCCTACAAGGTGACGGTGTGTATAAGACGACCCCAAAAATGTCCATTTAAAAAGTAGCTTTTGAGCCCTATTCGCTGTATAAGACCGGTACCCCAAATGTGACACTAAACCATTGGGAGCTTACTGACCCAGTAGTCCTTTACCAACCATCCCATTGACCAGTGCTGTTTACACATACATGGTTTTTTAAAATAAGGCCAATTCACTTCAAGTAATGGCATCAAATGTTATCGGTTGGTGTAGTGTAAACACTAGTGAATCACTTAAACGTCTGTTATTTAACTGGAACTAGTGTCGGTGTCGAATACAATTGTTTCATTTATTTGAAATGGATTTACCGATTTATTAGTTTATTTATTTATTTATAACATACAGGTTGTACCTCTCTAGTCCAGCAACCTCGGGACCTGACCGGTGCCGGACCATGGAAATTGCTGGACCATGGAAATTCACCCTTTTCCTGGATAGATAGTGACTTGTGCTTATACCTGGAAGCACTAGCACCACTTTCTCTGCTTCATGGTCTCTTTGAAGACATATTGAAGGGTTAAATGTCGTATGGTAGCTTCTCAAATTTCACGAATTTTTAATTCTTAACGTATTTTATTGGAACACACAAAAAAATAAATAAATAAAAATTTTGACGGCGGAAACTTGAATTTCGACGGGTTTGAACGGCCCGCCAATGTGCAGACGACGTGCATAATCGTGTAAACAGCGTCATTTCTCTTATGTACAAAAGATTCATTATTGTTTATTACTGAATGTCTTTTTTATTGAATTAATGTTTATGTGTGCACAATGAGCAATACAATTCATTAATAATATGTAGAATATTAAAACACACGAGGAAATGACACAGCATTGTATTCGTTGATTACAAAACCAGTGACTGACTGGTTCTACATATAAAACTAAAGAAAATAAGACCTTGGTTGTAGCTGTAGTAAAATTAATATGGTTGTTTTAAGTAATGTTATTTAATGTTAATAAATGGAACAATAGAAGTAGCTAACGATAATGGTAAAGAAAAAGAGAGATCGCATATGTAAGTGCGCATGCGCACACGTGAAAACATATCATCATTACTTTACATAAGAATATGAAAGCAACACTTATTTACTGTTCATATATATTTTAATTAATGTTTCTGAATTTGTTTTTATTGAATTAATGTACGTGTGTGCAAAATTAACAATACAATTTATTAATAATACGTGGAATATTAGAGGAGACGAGACGGCTGCCGGCATTGTTTATGTTAAAGCTTACGAAACCAGTGACTGATTGGTTCTACATATAAAACTGAAGAAAATAAGACCCTGAGTTTAGCTGTAGTAAAATTAATGTAAAAAAATGAATATGGTTGCTTGAAGTACCTGTAATGTTATTTAATGTTAATAAATGGAACAATATAAGTAGCTAACCATTAATGGTAAAAAAAAAAGTGAGACTGCTCGTATGTAAGTGCGCACATGTGAAAATATATCGTCATTACTCTACATAAGAATATGAAAGCAACACTTATTTACTGCTCATATATATTGAAGGGTTAAATGTTGTACTCTGTATAGACAAGCAGAGAGAGAGAGAGCAGCCGAACTGCCGGATGTAAACAAACCTTAATTTCCCGCAGCTTTTTTTTTTTTTTTAAGGGGATTAGCCCACCCAGGAATAGGTCACTGACCCACATTAGGGCCTGAGGGGCAAAAATTTAATACTCCTGTAATAATAATAATAATAATTCAGATAAAAAGAAAAAAAAAAAGCTGCCTATCTACCTATTGGACAAACTAAAACCACAGAATGCGGGACTAGAGAGGTACAACCTGTACTGTAATATATTAAACACACTGCAAGTATTTTCTTTAATTTTAAGCTTGCTTCACGAGAGACAATCGGTGGTGGGACTGTTCCGACTGTTTACACCAGCTACAGTACTGTATTCTAATTCAATAGTGTTTCATTAGGATTTGAGTGAAAAAGATTACTGTACATACTTACTACGCACATTTATTACACAAATATATATATATATATATATATATATATATATATATATATATATATATATATATATATATATATATATATATATATATATATATATATATATATATATATATATATATATATATATATATATATATATATATATATATATATATATATATATATATATATATATATATACACACACACACAGTTACCCTCACTTTATCGTTAATGTAACCGGAGGTCCAGCGTAAAGTGAATAACATAGGATTAATTGAAATGGAGTCGGGCCGATCCCAAACTCCACTTTTGGCGACACAACTATGTTGTAGTAAAAATATTATCTTAACTTTATGATGGTATGCACACACAATTAATAATTAAGAAATATCAATAATATTAGGTTTTTAACACTTACATTAGTAGAAAAAATGGCTGGGCACAAGGGATGGGCGGTTGGTTCGAGGCAGAGGGCAGATTATTGGCCCTCACCTGTGTCACTTATCAATTGTATCACTATCCACCACAGAGAGGCTTGCAGGGCCTCTTTGTCAAACTTCCCAAAGTCCTTATAAGTCCATATCCTCACCATAATTATCACTATCACTGACTTGGGCGGCTGTGGTGGGTGGCGGTGAAGAACTGGTAATGTTTGATGACTGGGGCGACCTTATGCGCACCATGTTGCAGCTTACAACATGGCGGATGGCGGAGGTTTGGATCCAAAATGGCGCTGACTGCGTAGCCTCTCCAGCGTAAAGGGTACACGCACCGTGGAATGTGAGTATCCTGGGTTCGGCAGGGCACGGCATAGCGTGAAGCGCGGAATGTGGGACGCGTAAAGTGAGTTAACTATAAATATATATTGGGATAGTATGTTAATTCATGGCAGAATTCTCTGCACTCCCTACTCCACTATCTGTTTGTGGGTCAGTTTTGTTTATCATAAAAAAAAGAGACCAAACCAACTTTCTATGAACTTATTCAAGTACTGTACTGTATTATAACATTGGGTTGAATAATTTTTTCTCAAATTAAAAACTGTATAGGTAGAATACCATTTAATTTACTTCACTAATTTATTGTACAGTATTTCTACACGATTTTCACAGCAAGCCGACAGTGGGAAAATATTTCATATGTGTTATACTTATGAAAAATTTACCTCCGCCAGTGATGTAGCAGAGACCAGATAATTTTGGGGTTGGTAAAACTGAGGATAAACCATCAGGTGTGCATTTAGGGGCTAATCTTCAGGTGATCAGAACGGCTAAAATTGTGTGAATCGTCTTGACTACATCACTTAAGTCTCCACAATATTACAGATCTGCAACTACCAATATGTAATGTTGTGAATCTCATCCACATTATTAACTTGCTTTAATTACTATGATGCAACACATCCACTACTCAAAACAAGAGAAAAGGATCCTTTTAGAACAGTTTCCTTTACATGAAGAATGTTTCTCTCTCAGGGATTGTACAAATTCTGCCCAGTCATAGCAACTGTACTGTACAGTCTCCTAAAGTTGAGAAGTGAGAACAATCATTGCAGTGTAACTCCCATTAAAGTTGCTAATTTGCTGGATATATATTTGTTCTGACTAACTTGGTATTAGATTCCTTAAGTGCTTGTAATCTTCTCGTCTCAGGTCTGGCCCTGATCCTCCAAGTTGACCATTTCTCTCAATTCCTTGATGGTGAAGGCAACATGTTCTGGACCCCTGCGACCAACCAATGTCACATGTCTCACTCGGCTGCCATTTAATCTCTCAGTATGTTCTCTGGGATGTCTGTTTCTGTGTATTACAAAATTATGAATCGAGTTACCCAGAAACTACGCTTCTGTCTTCCTCTCTAATGAGAGGTAAACTTTACATAACAAATAAAATTTCCAGTGGTTGATAGTCACATAAACATAGGAACATTATTATATTTGCCATTTTGCAAGAGTAATAAATTATTTAAACTTTTCTTTTTATTATAAATAATTTTATAATAACAATTTTAATTTCATATCTAAAACATGGTGAAAGTACAGGTTATACAGTACATGTACACTCGCAACAAAAATATCGGTGCAGAGTGAGATCGACGACTTCCGAAACGTCACATTATACAGTTAACCCTCACTTTACGCGGTTAATGTAACCGGAGGTCCAGCGTAAAGTGAGAAAAGCAACGTAAAGTGAATAACATAACATATGGGATTAATTGAAATGGAGTCGGGCCGATCCCAAACTCCACTTTTGACGACACAACTATGTTGTAGTAAAATATTATCTTAACTTTATGATGGTATGCACACACAATTAATAATTAAGAAATATCAATAATATTAGGTTTTTTAACACTTACATTAGTAGAAAAAATGGGGCACACAGGGATGGGCGGTTGGTTCCGAGGCAGAGGGCAGATTATTGGCCCTCACCTGTGTCACTATCAATTGTATCACTATCCACCACAGAGGCGCAGGGCCTCTTTGTCAAACTCCCCAAAGTCCATATAAGTCCATATCCTCACCATAATTATCACTATCACTGACTTGGGCTGGCTGGTGGGTGGTGAAGAACTGGTAATGTTTTGATGACTGGGCGACCTTGTCGCACCATGTTCGCGCAACTACACAACATGGCGGATGGCGGGAGGTTTGGATCAAAAATGGCGCGGCTTCGCCAAGCCGCTCTCAGCGTAAAGGGGTACCGCACCTGAGAATGTGAGCATCCTGGGTTCCGGCAGGGCACCGTAAACTTGGAAGCAGCGGAATCCGGGACAGCGTAAAGTGAGGGTTAACTGTACACTGCGATATGTCGGGAAGGTTGGTAAGTGTACCCTCATAACCCCCACTAGGTGTTGCCATATGGCTGACAATCAGTGTGTTTGTTTCCTCTTTTTGGATTGTTGCTTTGTGTTGACTGAATAATGGCGAGGGTTCGGTCTCAGTGAACGTGGGTATAAAACAGAGGCAATATGAAGCAGTAGAGATCTACACATGCCAGACGACATGAAAACCTCAGAAGAACAGGAGCTATTACCCTTCATAACGAAGGGTTCAGCGTCACAGATATTGGCGGGTTGGTGTCCACAGGAACACCGCCGCCACGATGGATCGGCGATACCTCGAAACTGGTGCTACAGACGACAGGTCCCGGCGGCCGTCCACACTGCACCACCTCTCAGGACGACCAGGTTGAGTGGTTTATTTGTAGCAAAAATTAAAGTGGCAATATTCACAAGTATCACAAATAATTTTGTTAACAAGGGAGCTCCTCATATTTCATAATGTCTATTTATCACTTCCGACCTTATTTATAACGGGTTGTTTCACTCGACCAGGCCATAGTGGCTGCTCAGCAGGATTACAGGGCTGCCAACACCGGCTGGAACAACTCGCCTTTCCCAATACCTATCGTCACTGGTCTCAAATTGTTCACACTACAGTATGCACCGATACTTTTTGTTGCGGTGTACCTTGATCTATGAAAATTATTTGAAATTTCAGTTTTATGACAGTAATTAATTAACACCTTTATTTGTAGTTATGATTTTCTTTTTTCATTTTATGATACTTTTTACATTATACAGTACTACTAATTTTTTTGGCTGGAAATAAGTATTTTAATTATCCATTAATTCTAAATTAAGTAAATGTTATAAATATTCAAAAAGTTTAATTGGCTACAGCATGTCATAACAAAATTCTTTACAAGCCATTCTTCAACAAAACTATTCAGCAATTTCTTACATTTTCTTCAGCAATTTCTTACATTTTCAAAGTGATTTACCCTCTATAGAGATATCAGGAAAACAACCAGCACATAAAATGAGAGCAGTAATATTCTGTGATAAACCCAACAAAGCTGCAAAAATTTGTTAAGTTGGAAGTGATAAAGCATATTGAGGCTGGTGAAAAGACGGTGACCATCGATAAAGTTTTAGGTCTATCTCGGAAAGATAAAATCAAGGCAAGTAAGAAGTGTGTGACAAATATAGGTGCAACTATCATAGATTAGATTTGATGGAGAACATGGAACAAGTTTACCTACCTACCTAATTTACTCAATGGCCATCCAAACTAGAGGTGGCTTTGACAAGGAAGAGGGCCAGTGGCCTGTGTAGGATCCTCCATTGTTCTTGGAAAGTCTTTAACATGGTTATTTTGTAGCCCAGTAATGATCTCGTTTCTAGAGCTAGACCTGGTAGACTGTTCCCATAGGTCTACCACCCTCTGTTTGAATAAGTAAATCCTTTTATTTGTCTGGATGACATCTTTGCGAGTTTGAAGCCGTGTTCTCTTGGCATGACGTCACAAATTGGTTTTTTAAATGTCTAAGATTCGTTCCATTGTGTTTTGTCTGAGGTTGTCAGTCCCAGGGCCCTCAGTCTACCTGGATAATTGAGATGTAATTTAATCAAATGCCTAAGAAAAATCCCAATAAAACACAACCACTGTTAGACCTTGGTTTACAGTGTTACCATTTTAAGGAAAATGAGTAGGTTTGCCAGGCAAGATTTTTTCTCCATGAATCTCGTAGTGATGTGTTGATTAGACTGTGCTTCGCGAGGTGTTTGATGATGGCATCCTCAAAATTTTCTCAAGAGCTTGTATGTACAGTACAGTATTAGGAAACTTCTGTTTATGTTAGCTGATCAGTCTATAATTTTCTGTTGGACTCTATCTACCCTTCTTGCAAACTGGGGTGATTAATTTCCAGTCCTAAGCATTTTATTGATCCAGCGACTTTCTGAATAGGAGTTTTAATGAAGCGTTAAACTAGTTCACCACGGATCTATCATCTTGGTCTGTGTTCTGTCTAGTCCAGGAGCCGAGTACTGTATGTCGGTAAAAGATCAAAACGAGCATAATATACTGCTCAACACCATGATGATTTATTAAATTTTTGTCTATTCATACTGCATTTTTACCCATACATACAATTGTGTTTCAGTGTCATTTTACTATATTTTGGAATCTTTTTCCTGGAATATATCTTATTTATCCATAATGATAATCAGTGTAGGGTTTATATAATTTGGTTTACCATGTAAACTTACTAAAAACAGTCTGTATTCTTGGCTCTGAAACTATCTGCAACAATCACTGCGACAGAAGCCATGACCAGATTTTTTGGTCCGGTGTGTCATATTGTATAACCCCATAAAGGTGCAGAATATCTTTTAGTGAGTATACCAGTACAGGGTATAGAGTTTGGAGGAATGTAACCTTATCATAAATTATGATACAGTACACCTGTATATTGTTTTGCACATACAGTACCTGTACTGTACTATAACTTTAATCAACAGAATTTCCAATGCAAATAAATACTGTACAGTTGTTAAGTCAGAAATTTAGTTCTATTTTTTTTTTACAAAGTAGATTTAAATAATTATTTCAAAAATGTTGTACCTAAAAATATATATGATAATAGCCATTCAGAATTCTATCCTCAAGTAACAGGCGAATAAATTAACAAATACTGTATACTACAGCAAAACTAAAAGAAAACCCTTCAGCATGCTGTGCAAATTATGTGGAATATTTACTAGTCCTGACAAATTTTTGGATGAAATTTGCCTGGATTTTTGATGGGAAAAGTTAAATTAACAACTTCAAATATTCAAACTTATTGTGTGCATCAACTCATAGATCACTTGTGTCCATGTAAATGGTGCCAGTGGCAATAGCCCTTGTCATGTGATATCAAAACTCTTGTTACCAGTTTTGGGGGTTTCAGATTGATGAGACATACAGTAGTCCTTGCCAACCGTTAGGTTAGGTTGGGTTAGGTTCTATGGCTCGGACAACACTAGTCAAAACCTAACTAAGTTCCTGTTCCTTCACTAAACAATACCTGTATTGTACATTAAATTAAATTTTAGTCAAACACTGTACAGTACATATAAAACAGCTTAATAGAAATTAAATAGTAATATAATTTTTAGTACAGTACAGATATATCTGTAGAGACGGAATGTTGCTATAAAATAAGAATAAAGAAAAGCGTGGGTGTGTATGTGCATAAGTGAACGTGTATATGGACTTGGTAGGTCGCCAAGTTGGACTGTCGTGTTTCTGCTGTTTTTGTGAATGTGAAGTGAGCAGTAACTTTGAAAATGTCTGGGAAGGCCAAGGCACCCAGAAAAACTGTCTCTGGAGGTGAAGCGGCACAAGACTCTCCAGAGGCTGTGGAGTCAGAGTGACATCTGTCTACCTTCAAGTGACCCCTTAACCTCAGGGGACATGTAATGACAACCAGGCGTGTGCTTAATGATGAGGTTAGTGTTTAATTGTTTTAGGTAGATTAATAGAGAAGTTTTTCCTTTCTTTCTTTCAGCGATACACATGGGTGTACGACTGGCTAGGATTGTATCCCTTGAACACCATGTTATAATGCTCCGATTTACAATATTTTGGCCTGTGATGGATTTTTTCGAACCTAACGTAATAATGGGGGCAGTAGCACCAGGCAACCACCTTCTCACATCAGCTGATCACTAGTAAACAGACCATTTTCGTCCCATTATTTTAGCCGTGTTGATTTATGAGTTTGTTTTAACATAATACTACAAAAAACAATATTTTGTTTATTCTAGGATATGGGCTGAGGTGCATCTGGGTAGACTCTCAGTATTTTTAGTATTTTGTGTTTCTCTCAAGTACCAAACTAATTTATTCCATTGAAACAACACTTCGATTTAGTGCGAATTCAGTTTAAGCGACCTCTCTTGGACGTATATCATGTTATATCGACTTTCTACTGTATCTTTATTTCTAAGCCACATTAGAGTATTTTAATGATTTTTCTACAACTTTTATAGCATTAATGCTCCAGAAATGGTTGTGAAATATGGCACATTATTGTGTTTGTGTGTGTGTCTATTGGCTGTATGTGATGTCACAGGAGGCGGCTGGAGTGGTGAGTCAGCAACTCCACACACAAACATCCATGCTCTTCACATGTCTTAGTTTATAGTTTTATACTACATTATATTTAATTTCTAACCCACATTAGAGTATTGTAATGATTTTCCACAACTCTTATAGCATTACTGTTGACTTTTAGCAGTTGTGGAACATATCCTTATTTTCCTTAAGATTAAGTACAGTATTCACTATATGAGGATTCCATTATGCTGTGTTGTCACAGAACTCAACCATAAAGCAAGAGTCAGGTGGACTGTATTAATTTGGGAATAGAATGGAATCTTTTCATGAAACTCCGTTGATTCTACAGTGGCATCAAAAATTATACAGTGGGGTATGCTATACGAACGGATTCTACTACGAATATTCCTATACGACGGTTTTACCTATAAAATTGAGAATGCTATAACGAACATAACTCCTACACGAGCGGATGAATACAGGACTATTTCCGGCGCTGAATATTGTTGTACGCGTATAAAAAAGGCGTCAGGCGCCATATTGGTTCATTGTGTAGTCAGTGCACCACTGAACTTGTTGAAATTTCGTCTTTTGATGTGGAAATTCGTGTTATTTTTATAACTATTTTGTTATACAAGCGTACAATTGTAACAATGAATCGTCAAGCGGTAAAGCCGATAACCCTTGAAACTAAGAAAGAAATTATAAATAAACAGACAAAGTGCCTGTAAGACAGTCATCAAAGAGGGCTAGGAAGGATGACTCCTCTCCTTCACCTCTTCTCCATAATTCTCTCCTCCCCCCTCCTCCTCTGCCTCCTGTCCTGCATACTAACAACACTAAGGTAAGATAAAGTACGTACTTTTACAATTTCCACAGAAATTTTTCAGTGTTAAGTGGTTGTATTTGGGGCCTGGAGGCATTAATCCTATAACGAACTAATGCTATAACGAACGAGGTTCTAGAACCAATTAGACTCGTTATAGCATACCACTACTACAATGGTCTGGAAATAACGACTGCATGTTAAACTGAAAATAGCGAGGTGTGTAAAACATATTACGGTCACTAAATTTTCAGTTATTATGATAAAATTATGTGGTTTAACATGAATACTGTATAGTATAAGACTTAAAGTATGAAAGCTTTGATTAAAATTATATTGTATTTTAACATCAGACTAACCTTTAATATATCTACAGGTGTGAGTAAAATTCTTGCTACATCCACAGCAACATTCCTTGACCAATAATTCCACCGATTCTACATTCAAGTCAACCTTCAAATCTGCATTTTCAGGTAGACCATTATACCAACCCAAATTCTCGGGCAGATAATACATTGGGCAAAGACTCTCCTGGGATGTTTAATGCTCGGTCTTGTGCCGCCATATGCCTGAAAAGCAAAGAAATGGTAAAATAAATTAGAAATTACATATATTATATAAATGAAACCTTGATTCAGGAATCCCAGGCACCTTGTGATTTTGTTCTCTACTTACCTGAAGTCTTGGGATAAGCTTGTTCACACAGAATATTCAGGGTGTGCAGGGACTTTGGCATGGAAGCATTGCTTTGAGATCACAGTTATTTAGGAGCTTACCCTAGTATATTTAATCTGACCTGACTACCGACTGCTGCGGTGTTTTTGAAGATTAGTAGGGTCAGTACCTAGTGACCTGATAATTGTGGATTAAACCATAAATTGCAGATCATTAAACATCATTGGGTGTTAAAAATTTTAAATCGCAAAACCAAAATATCCAAAGTAAACGATCGTTAAACAATGGATACCTGTACACCCTTGTATTCCTATTCATAAAATTTAAAGTAAAGACTTTATTCATAAATATTTAAAACTGAAATCCTGAAGAACAGGTGAGTATCTTACAGTACATGCATGGTTACCAACCTAAGCAAGTCTCTTAATCACAGAAGCTGTCAAATAAAATGTTGATCATAAAAAAAATACAGGTTCTGAACTGTATTCAGTAATTTCTCATATTACAGTACAGTACCTAAAAGATAATTCTGCACATTTCATACCTACCAGAACAACAGCATGATAAGCTTCTCTCAACTGGCTGATAATATTCACTTCCAATGTCAACATTGCCCAAAATGTAAATCTGTCTTTAGCAGCAGTCTGGGTGAAGGTATTAATGCAGTTCTTCACTTCTGGGTGATCTGGTGCAACTCCATCGCGAACCAAGCCAAAAGGAACTGGCAGTTTCTCATACATATCAACTTGTTGCTGCTGCATGGCTCTGAAAATATAAAAGACATAGTGAACAAAAATAGTTATAATCTAATTGTGCACACTTGCCAATATTTGCATGTTAAACATAGAGATCTTGGTTATTCAACAAGAAACATTTTCTTTTAAGTTGATGAGTTATGATCGAGTTTGTGACGTATGGTTCGAGAGGATCTCCATATCAGAACACATCTACCATAGCTGTAATAATGAATAAATAATGAGAATGTGTGTGTGTGCACTAGATTCTGGTCACCATATTATAGCCAAAAAAGGCTTAAAGGTATAAAACAAACTATTGTACAGTATGTGGTTATCATGTAATGGAAATATTGTTGTAAAATGCAATACCTGTTCAACACTTCATTACGAACAATGAACATGAGTACTGCAACTTTCTAAGGAGAAATAGTAGTAAAGTATTGTACTATACTGTAATTTATATACAGTACATATAGAACCAAGTAAAACACTGCTATAGAAGAATTATACAGAAACAAAAATCTACAGTAGGGTATTTGGTAAATTAATAATCCACAAAAGGTTAAAATTTACATGAGTAAAACCAGTATTTGTTGAGCAGTATGAAAATGACTGGATACCAACAATACACTTGGGGACTTGAGCAGTGCTGGCAACACCTGTTCTCAGGTGACGAACTATGAGTCGACTCACACCACAACTTAGCATCATTTTTACCTAAAATAGGATGATAGTTGTTAAATATCCACATCTTGCAAGAAATCTAAATAAATATTATACATACCAATTTTTTTTTTATTCAACTCAAGTTGTAAGAGTATTAAAACAAATTACATACATGCGTAACTGTACTGTGTATACAGTACAGGTGAGTTCCGATAATTACCTAAATAAAACACACATTCATTCATACATTCGTGGGTACCTCTCTATTACTACCCCTTTTTTTCAATTTCACGGTCAAATACAGGTCCATATGTGTTTTGAATTGGAATTCTTCGGTTTTCAGAATGGTAGAACAGCTCCTCCCGACTTACGACGAGGGTTAGGGACCAAATTCAGGTCCTAAGTCGAAAATGCAAATAATACATAGGAAATCTAAAATGGGTGTCTCTTTTTCTTCTCAGCACCAAACTTTCACTTTTAAGCCTGCCAGCCGTTTTAAAGTGAATACAAACAAAATTTTCTCTTTTACTGACGTTGGGACTTGAAAATCGTAATTTGACAAAATTTTGGCCTAACAAGCTGAGGGCGTAAGTGTGGTGGTAAGTAAATGGGGAGGAGCTGCTACATATACAGATATATTATGGTAACACCCCTTAGCGGGGTCTGTTAGGCACCCTGTAAGCAAACACATTAATATTTCTTCAACAAACCTTATGAATATTCACAATGAGTGGGATAAATAAAGACTATAAATAGTATTACAGGTTATTTGTACAGTAATAATTTGGTAAATGAAATCATGGGATAAATATAGTCCATAAATACTCTAGTACAGTACAATTATAGAACATAGCGCCAGTACATAGCTGTTTCATCAGCATTGTAAATTTGTTCAGGACCAAGGTTTTCAACAGATATTATTTTGACAAATTCGTCAATTTAAATTTCAGCTGCTTCATAATCAGCACATTTAACAAAACAATATAATGTAACAGATTCACCACCCAAATATCTATACAAATATAATAATTATAATCACTATATCACTTAAACCATATTTTACTTACTTTTATCCTCTTGCCACTGATGGATCTGTTAGCCACTTGGGCGGTCATTCATGTCTCTGATATGCACTGTTGGCAAATACAGGGCAGTGACTGGCTCCTGAATACATCGGAACCTGCTCCAGTGTTGGTCAAGTCTGGCCTTGAATGAGCTCACACTCGGTGCCGTCACAAGGGTCTCTGGCAAATTGTTCCACGAGTTAACAATTCTCACTCGAGAAAAATTGCCTCCACAGTTTTCTGGACTTGTGGCTTTCAACCTTGAGCTGTACCCCTTGTGGGCGTACGTCGGTCAGCTTCAGGTATGTACATTCGATGAGTAATCCCCCCCAGATGTTTATACACTTCGATTAAGTCGCTCCTCCCATCTGTAGTATAAGCTAGGTAGTTGGAGGCAGTCCAATCTCTCTGAAACTGAGGTTCCATAGAGCAGGCACCAGTCTGGTGGCATCCGTACATTTTCAATCAATTGACAGTCTCTAGCATACTAGAGCTCGAGGACCAGACAGGGGTGACAATACTCCAGCGAGGAGTACCTCACTCTTGAAGATCGTGACGGCACGGATACAGATATCTAAATGATCTTTAAGACCTACTAGTTTCATTGCCCGATTCACTCCTCTCACTGACCCGAGAACTTAAGTTCATTGTACAGTACATATAATAACATACCTAAATCAAATATTTACTGTTGAACAATAAATTTAAATACTATGGAAATATCTAAGAACAGCAGAAGTTTATTGATTTCATTAATTTTTCCATGTTATCATTTACAAGTATGTATTTTAAGAGGCAACAACTTTTTAGTATAATTAGTAATATTTTTCTTACCTGTAATGGGTAAAGCATGAAGGATGAAGAGATGACGGTTAATTATTAAGCGGCAGGTTAATGGGTGAAAATTAGAATTCACAATGGTAATGATATTTTTAGTAAATTGAAATTAAGGGTTAAGTTAACAAAAGTCACATGACTGTGAAAAGCTCTGTGATTGGTTGACGTCACTGGTTCCTCGAACTGCAGAGAGGAGCATAGAGCCAACCAGCTGTGTACATCCATTATTATGTGTTGTTTACCAGCAAAATTACAGGACTTGTGTCCATATACATTAATACAGGTTGACAATCCTTTATCCGAAATCCTATGGGCCAGAGGCATTTCGGTTTCGAATTCCCTCGGTTTTCAGAATGGTTAGGTTTTTTTTTTGTTAGCCCCCGGAGCATAGATCACTGACCCACATTGGGGCCTGGGGAAAAATATAATAAATTATAATAATATATAATAATAATTCATAGGTCTAGATCGTGTTTCTCACTTTTGATCTTTTTTCGATTCTTGTATTTCTTTGTATTATTATTTATTATTACGATATTATTATTATTATTATTTTTATTATTATTATTATTATTATTATTATTATTATTGTAATCATTATTATTTTATTTTGGTGTATAATTATTAAAATTTTTATTTACTATGAATAATTATTATTACTATTACATTTTTGCCCCCCAGGCATACCTTATTTTTAGGCTAAAATAAATTACTGCTCAAGTATCCTCGTGTGTGTTTACTTGCTAGGTGCCAAAATGATGCAAAAGACCGATAACTCCAACAGGGAAGTTTTCATCACTGTTCTGTATTTCATGTCTGGAAAATGTAAGTTTTTATCATTGATGTCTATATTTAATGTTGTGGAAGGACTAGGGATGACCATGGCCAGGGGATGGGCTTGAGATGATCAGATGACAGAAGTAATTTAACGTGCTTCATAGTGGATGGCGGAGTTCTTGATAATACTCTACAATCATAAAGACATCAACTTTTGGTAAATTTCTTTCATCTGCCTTGATGAACCCTGGAAGTAGTTGTCCAACTTTCTCGGCTGATCAGCTCTAAATGAATATTATTGGATAATTAATTGTGCTTTACTGTAGAACACAGTAATGCTATATTGAATATATAAATATTACTAAGTACATTAACTAATTCAATAGATATTAGCTGCCCCTCCTACAAATTTCATAGTAAAACATCCTAAACAGTATTGGTATTATTTTGGTTTTGGTCATCTGGGGAACCTTAAGATTCTAACTATGGGATTAAGCACTTTAAACAATAAGACAAATTATCTCTATCGGATTTGTCGCAAAACATTTTTCTATCGCATAAGAAAATACAGATCATAGGTTAGGTTAGGTTAGGTATGATGTTATATTATAAGTTATAAGATTAGCTTAACCATAAGTCTTCATGTCTAAGTACAGGGATGACCAAAACTTAAAATTTACCCAACATAGCCTGTCTCGAATCTAAACATCAAAATACTTTATGGCAGTTACAGTAAAACTTTACCCATTAATTAATATAAATGTTGATATATCCTAGTGGTTCATTAGTGAATCATCAAAACAACAAGAGCACTATGTTTTCATGTTTACCTAGCATCAGGAATTCTCAAACAAAGTCAAGACAATGTCATTACTTCTCAATTGACTCATATCTCATCCGTGCATCATCAGCGGGGTAGGTGGTGACATCATTGCAAATGGTGACCCTGTTTCTAGAGAAATAAACTTATCTCGACTATTATAGCAGGACTTTAAACTTTTATTCCAAGTTATATATACCGTATCACTACGAACATAGCCGAGTGTATTTCTTATGTTTACCCAGAACCGTCAACTCGTCAATTACTGAATAAAACAGTGAAAAACTTATCATATGTCACTAAAATGAGGTCGCTGCGTGCTTTGTATGTGAAGAAATTAATTATTTACCGCAAATACTCCTCCGAAAAATTTGTATGGTCACCATGTGTCATTTTTTAATTTTGAATACCAGATATGGCTGAACAAGTTGAAGAGCTGTGCCGACATTGTGATGAAGATTATTTTATGTCAATTGCGAGTTTCAACAGAAAAATTGTGAGGCTATTTCTTTTTGTAGAAAATGCAGTGTATTACCGAACAACATTCTTTGTCCAAGATGTGGGGGCATTAACAAAGGGGGGTCCAGGGGGGATGTTAGGTAGGTTAAGTTGGGTTGGGTTGGGTTGGTGGTATTTTATGTATGTGAGTTACTGAAGAAAAAAAAAGGTTAATATATTATAGGACAAACCCTCCAGCTGCATAGCGCCGATGTGGCCATATCATCTCGCGTCCAGAAATTTCACCATATTATAATAAGTGCTTTCTGTTTAATATACCGGGGAAGTTAGGTAAGGTTAGGTAGGTAGGTTTGTTTGGTTTGGTTGGTTAGGTCTGTTCTTCAAACGTACAAATGTTAAATAACGTTTATTTTAAAAATATTTTTTTTTAATATTTCCACAAACTACAAGTGTCCACTGTAATATAACAATAAAAATCCAGCGTTTTTATAATTGTTTTTATTCAATTTCGCTCGCGGGTTAGTCCTATATAATTACCCCAAAAAATTCCAACTTTTCCGTTAAGATTGTTGGGAGGTTGGGGGGGGGGGGCTGGGGGTGTATCTAGAAAAATTAACTAGTGATTTCCGGCGGAAATGAACATCAAATTCTTTCGAAACTCACCAATTACCACAGGAAAAACATATTTCTAATATAAAATAAAGACCGGTGCCAGATTTAAACAAATCATGGCGACACTTGAGACTTGGGAAATCTAATAATATTGAAAACTAAGATATCAGTTATCCTTAATTTCCGGCGGAATTATCATATTAGAAAAATGTCTTAGAATTGTCTAAACATTACGAAATGCATATTAAAAACTGCGAGAGAAAGACCGATGTATTACTATAAATTGACCGATTCTCTGGATGACCGAAACTAATACCTAAAAAATGTCAACCACGGAACCCTATAATTATTTATATAATTCGGAGACCATACACTGTGACTTTACAGTATAGACTTACCTTTATAACACTGCACAGGTTTTTCATCAAGTGTTATCTCCCGTACTCCAGTTGGCGGTGCTACTCTTGTTAGTAAACAAACGAGTCATTTTTCCATTTTAAGCACTAACTGGCAACTTTGTACTGATTGTCTTAATACTCTTCTCAATGTTGATAAAGACCTTTAGTGTAACTTGCTGATTTTAGTAATCAAAACATTCAATCAAATATACCCTAAATTATACCAGCGATTTTATGTATGAGCTGTTCACACTTCAACGTTGGCTAGGTAGTGTGGCGGTAAATATAAACACGGAGATCTAATGCCATCCACACATATACGTAAGTTAATTTTGGTGACTTTACGTCTCTGTAGCAGTGGAGGTTTTCAAAGTGTAATTGGAAATACCGCAGGATTGACCTAAGCCAGTATAAGTAGGGAAATTACCCAGGTGATGCATGTTTTGTATCGGGGAGTTCCCATTACTAATTTATTTGGGTTGCCTGTCCGATTACATTCCATTTGGACGATCGTATTGTTTTATGCCATTTTATTTTGCGAAACCCAACCTGACCATGTAACAAAAAAAATGGTAATTTTTGAAAACAGTACTACTACCAGAAGTTGTTTGATTTAATTTTTCCATAGATGTTCTATCATTATAGTAAGTATTTTAAAAGAGGCAACAACTTTTTATTTTAATTATATGTATTTTTTTCTGCACGATCATAAATTACCTGTAGTGAGCAGGGTATGAAGAATGAGGGAAATTGTGGGATAAAACAAGGCGAAGAACTGATCATATGAAACTAAATTGATGTCTACGTGCTTTGTACGTGAATATATTAATTATCGTAAATACTCCCCCCCCCCCCAAAAAAAAAAGTCGGTGTACTGTTTGTTTACAATTGACTCGTTTGATCCGAATGTACTGTAGGGGTATCGAGATATTAATGTTGTCTAGCACTCAGGATGGAAGGAAACTCTAATGTGGTTTTCTTGTATAATATATGTTATATGATAGACAGTCTGGTGCTGGAGATGCCGTCTGGTGAGGAGCTGCTCAGTAGAAGACGTTCGGTGAGTAGCGTGTTGAAGGAGGTAGATGTGCTGGACAGCTAGGAGCTTGCTGGAGGA